GTAGAGTCTTTGGTTGCTCTCTGATCATGCTTGTTTCCTTACAGACATTCGTCATTCAACTAGGTTTATCATCATTGCTGCTTCTATTCCCTTCCCCCGCACCTGCCCAATCCCACATTTTATTAAAGCCACCAACATTTATTTCCACAGCATGTGTGCTTATTAATCAAGTTTTTGCTGGATTAAGTCAAGTCCAACCATGTTTATTAATTGCTATTGAATCCCATGGCTTCAAATTAAACCAATGCAAAAGGTAGATGAGATTTATTGAAGTATTTTCAGGGAATGGGTAGCCAAGAGCTAATTATGATTTCTTCTTTTTTTTTTAAAACAATTTTATTGATTTTTAAAAAACAAACAAAACAAACAAAACGTAAAAACATCAGCTCTCTTCCATACATATATACAAACAGTGTGTCGGTTGGTTCATCAGTTGCATTCATTTCGTAGTCTCACTTACAGCTAATTATGATTTCTTCTTATTGGCATTTTATGTTATCTAGAGTGCTAATTTAAAACATACATGATGGATATATCTTCAGATAAAAGCACTTTTTATCATTCATGATTCAAATAGAAACCCCCAATAATTTTGTTGCACCCTACTTTTCTAAACAATACTCTTTAGCAGTCAAAAATTAAATTTAAAAATTAACAAAATTATTTCTAAGAATAAAAAAAAACCTTAGTTTGTTTTTGTTTGACTTTCTTAGTACCACGAAAATTAACATTAAACTGTGAAGCTATTGGCATTACTTGTGTGGGTTGTGTGTGTTTTAACAACCTGTAATCCCTTGTGAGGTGGAGTGCCCAGAGAGAAATATCTGCCGCTACCTAGGATCAAACTCACAGCCTCCTGATTGTGAGAGTCCACCTGTAAGCCACTGCACCACTCACGGTTGCCATTACATGGGAGAATGAAATTCAAGACTGGAGTTTGTATTTTTCTTTTTTTTATTTCCATTCCTTTTGTTTTTGGATCCTGTCTAATATTTCTAGTTAACATTTCCAGTATTAATATAAATAGTAGTGGGGATAGTAGACATCTTTGTCTTGTGCCTTTTTTATATAGAAATTTTCTGTCACATATCATCATCGCTTTAGCTCTCTGGTTTGTGTAGATTGCCTTAATCATATTTATACATTTTTTAACCAAAATCCATACATTTTAATTGTTGTATCATAAATTGCCGATTTACATTGTCAAATGCTTTCTGAGCATCTAAAAATATTAAAGCTAGTTGTTTTTCACAATATACTTCATAGTACTCCAGTGTATCTAAAATTATTCTCACGTTGTTTCTAATTTACCTTTTAGGTTAAAAAAAACACCATTTTAGTCAGAATGTATAAACTCATTCAGAATATTTTTTAGTATTTCAAGTATTATTGAAGCAAATATTTTATAATCTGTATTTAATAAGGATATTAGGCTATAATTTTTTATTTGTCTGAATCTTCTTTTGGAATTAAAATGATATTGGCTTCTGTCCATGTATGTGGTATCTTGGCTTCTAATAAAACTTCATTATATACAGTACCTCTAACATTGGCAAACTCAATGTATCTTGTAAATCTTTATACATTTCTGCTGATAGACCATATGGACCTTATATTTTGTTATTCTTTTGTCTTTTAATTGCCTCTACTAATTCTGCCATTGTTATTCTTTCATTCAACATATTCTTCACCATTTCAGATACTTTTGGTAGGTTGGCTTTGTCCAAATATTGTATTATTTTTTTTCCTCTGGTATTTTTTTATGATCATATAGCTTCTTATAGAACTCCTGAATTATATATTTTTTCTTTTCCATTTGATATGTACAAGCATTTGCAGATGATCTGGGTTTTTATACTAGAAGAACCATTAGAAACTGGCCCCAGATTGAGAGGGAAAATCAAGGAATATGGAGAAGTTGCAGAATTAAAAATAAACAAAGAAAAAACTAAAATAATACTAAGAAAAACCTTACAGTTAAACAGAAAAATGAACTGATAAAGAAAGCAGACCTTCAAATGGTAAAGAAAGTGAAATATTTAGGCATTCACTTAACAGCAAGATGTGCAACAATTAAAGATGATAACTACACAAAATTAATGCAACAAATTAAGTTGGACTTGGAGAAATGGAAGAATTTGCAACTATCAATGATAGGAAGAATATATTACCAAAGTTACTTTTCTTATTTTAAGCAATACTGATAAAAGTAGAGAAAAAAGTATTTTGAAGAATTAAATAATTTTTTTTGAAATATATACGACAAGGGAAAAAAGCAAGAATAAAATTGAAAATGTTACAGGAGTCTAAAGGCAATGGGGATTTTAGGCAACCAGATTGAGAGGCATCAGGCATCTGTATTTACAGGGGTAAAAGAATGGATAAATTTGAGTCATAGATTATTATTATTATTATTATTATTATTATTATTATTATTATTGGAGGGATGATCTTCAATTAGGAAGGCATGCTTTTGTATGGTATGGAAGGAGTACTGCACATAGATATTTTCAAAGACATTATGTGAGGAATGCTTTACTTTTAGTATGGGAAAAAAATAAATTACAAAACTGTAGAAAAATATCAGTCTAGCTTTCTACAATGGAAGCATTGATACATCCAAATCTTATTAACTTGGAAAAAATGTATTTTATAAAGACATTTTAAATCAGAATGGTGAACTTAAACTAGACAGGAACTACAAAATCAAGGGGTGGACTTAGCTTGCTGGCCACACTTGCAAATACAATCGAGATATGAGAAAGATGCGAAAACATGGGTTTTTTTATAAAGAACCAACAACATTTGATAAGATGTTATTAGGAACAGATGAAAAACTGATAAGAAAAATATATAATTATTTATTAAGCTTTAAAATGGAAGATGAACAAGTTAAAGAAACAATGAACATATGGGTGAAAAACTGGCTATACTATAGAACTAGATAAACGGCAAAAACTGTGGGATAGGAATTACAGACTAGCAATGGCTATTGCATATAAGGTAAATCTTTATAAAATGTTTTATAGATGCCATTTGCCATCAGGAAGACTAACAAAAAAATGTAACATGTCCACCAAATGTTGGAAATGTAATCAGATCCCAGGTACTTATTATCATATGTGGTGGATATGTATGAGAGCAAGAAAATATTGGATAAAAATAAACACATGGTTGGAAAAGATGATTAAGCAGATTTGAAACCAGAAATATTTTTGTTATGTATAATACCAAAAATCTATGATAAAGGGACTATATATTTAATATTACATGTATTGACTGCAGCAAGAATTGTATTTGCACAATATTGGAAAAATGAGAACACCACCCCATCAGATAAAAATATAATTCAGAAAATATTGGATTGTGCAGCAGTGGATAGATTGACATTGAAAGATAAAGAAGATACAGAGTATTATTTAACATGGAATAGGTTTTATTAATGGTTAGAGATAAGAGGTAGAAATTAGATGAAGAAAGAGCATTGTTATGTATAAGTTAAACATGAATGTTGTTTGTAACTATAAGTATGCTAATACAATCAATAGGATTATAAATAATCTAACATAATTATAAATATGGTTAGAATCATTTTGTTGTACTACTACGATTGCTATCATTTTTTCTTTTCTTTTGTAAAATGGTATGCCTGGACAATACACTGTATTAAAAATGTTTATATATAAATAAATAAATGTTGACTCAGAAAAAAAAAGAAACTCATGACTGGAGTGTAGTGCTGGATGTATATTAACTGTTCAAAAGGATTAGATCTAACAAAGGAGTGAGTGGAGTTGCTTTATATGTAAGAAGTTATTACATCATCATCATCCATTCAGCCATGTCTGATCCTCAGCCACTGTATGGAACAGCATTCTCCATGCCCCTCTGTCTTGTGCTGCCTCCTTCAAATCTGCCAAGATTATCCCGGTGTCATCCTTTATATAGCGTCCAGCTGGCAGATACTAGAATGGGCCTTCTCTTTTTTCCACTGATCACTCCCAGCACAACTGATTTTTCAAGTGAGTCAGCTCTCATGACATGTTCAAAGTATGACGATCTCTGTTTAGCGATCTTAAGTAATATTTTTTGTGAGGTTCAGCCTAGAACTTCTTTATTGTTTTTGCAGTCCATGGGAATGTGCCAATATTTGCCTCCAACACCAGAGTTCAAAGGTGTCCACCCTTGTCTTGTCTGTCTTTTTCAGAGTCCAAGTTTCACAGCCATAAGAAGCAATTGGAAAAATTATTGCATTAACTAATTTGCATTTGGTTGTGAGATTGATGTTTTTACTCTTCCAGATGTTATTCATGTGGCTCTTATAACTGCAAGGTATTGTAGTTCTTGCGAGTGCCATACGCCTTCTGATTTCAGGCTGCAGTCACCACTTTGGTCAATTTTATAGCCCAGGAAGATAAATTCCTTTATTGTTTTGATGGTCTCATTGTTCATCTGCACTCTGACCTGTGTGTTCTCTGCAATTATCATTATCTTTGTTTTCCTGATGTTAAAGTGCAGTCCAAATTTTTCTCATTCAGGATTAGCCACTCCAGATCTTCCTTGCTTTCTGGGAACAATGTTGATTATCTGCATATTGAAGGTTGTTGATATTCCTACCACCAATTTTAACCCAAAGGTAGGTTCTCCCAAATGTGCATTTCTCATAACTATTTCTGTGTATATGTTGAAAAGTATAGGTGACAGGATGCCATCTCGCTAAGTGCCTTTTTCAATTTTGAACTATTTTGTATCTCTATATTCAGTTCTTAAATGGCTGTCTGATCAGAGTATAAAGATTGAATGAGCTGGAAGTGGTGTGTTGATATTTCTTTGAGGAACTTCCAGAGCTTGTCATGGAAGGCTTTTATACAGTCAATGAAGCACATGTAGAGGAGTTTTTGGTATTTCTTTGTTCTTTCCAATGTCAATCATCCAATGTAGATTGGCAATATGATCATGCATTCCTCTTCCTTTCTGAAATCTTGCTTGTGCAGGCAGTTCTGTTGGATTCAACTGTTGGTGGATTATCTTCAAAAAAAATGTACTCACGTGCAGTAACAAGGCTATGGTTTGGTGACTGGAACAGTCTTTCATATCCCCTTTCTTTGGTATTAGGTTATTAACTTTTTATATTCTTTTGGCCACTGACTAGAATTCCATACACTTTGGCAAAGCACCGTCAGTGCTTTTGTTGGCTGTGGTCTCAGCAACTCTGCAGGAATTCCATCAACTCCTGGGGTTTTGCAATTAGGCAAATAATTGAGTGCCCATACTACCACCTCCTCCAGGATATCTCATTCAATTCCTCTGGCAAGGATGGAACTTTTCTATTTCTTTTGGAATAATATGTAGTCAATTTGGTTTCAATAGTCTCCATTTGGTGAAGTCCAAATACAGTGTCATTGCTTGGGTTGTTCAAACCACATGTTCATTATGATTAACTGTTGCTCTTGGCCTAGCTGAAGTTCTCCTGTTTTATTTTGTTCACCAAACTTGCCTGTGATCCCGGTTTCTTCCATTTCTCCCACTTTTGCATTGAAATCTCCAACAATATAGACAGTGTCTTTCTTTGGTGTTTCAGAGATTCTTGCATTTCAGTGTAGAATTTGTTGATGTTCTCTACTGTTGAGTCCACAGTAGGAGCATATACTTACAGAAGTGTCATGTTGCTAAGTTTTCCATTGATACTTATTGGCATTATCCTGTCAGTGATTGTTCAAAAACTTTCTATAGTTCTGCCCACTTTTTTATGTGGTATGAAATCCACTCTTCTTCTGATGGTATCATTGCCAGAGTAGTATATGATATGACATCAGAGTTGAAGAAGCCACAGCCAGTCCAATGAACTGCACTGCTGCCTAGTATATAAATGTTGAGCTTATTCATTTCATTCTTAACAATGTTCAGCTTTACTACCACTGACACGCTATGTTCCTAATTCTCTCCTAATGTGGAGATAATTCTTTTCATTGAGAGCTGTGTCAATGGCTGGCTGGGGGTGGGGGTGCATTAAGATTTACTCTATCCATATCATAGATCCTCCTGCTGCTATAATAGCCTCTTTGCTCTTCCCTGTAGCTTTATTGGTACCTCCCAGCCAGGGGGACTCACTGCCTGGTACTATATCTTCCATATCTTTGAATTGATCCCAAAGGTTTTATGGCAGAGAAAACTGGAATCGGTCATCAACTTTCTCCAGACCACAGCCATGTTGGCCAGTATAAGAGGCTTATACTGTTCACCCCCACCCCCATGCACACACACACCATGGTGAGGTACTGTTGAGCTTTGGGGGGGAGAGAATCACTACACCTATGTAGAAATGCATAATACCAAGGATGAAAGCCTCCTTATATGCATATAGTTAATACAAAAGGAAAAAAAGAATGACATTGCCATAGGTGTATACTATAGGCCACCAAACCAAGCAGAACAAGTGGATGAACTTTGTGCTAATCAGTTAAATGGTGTGTGCAGGAAATACATCACAGTAGTAATGGGGGTCTTTAAGTATCCTGACATCAACTAGGAGACAAATTCTACACAAAGTGGCAGATCAAACAGATTCCTGATGAGCCTAGCTGACAATTTGTCATCCAAAAGGTAGATGAGGGAACTAGAGGGTCAATTATTCTGAACTTAATTTTTATTGGAAAATGATGAAAGGATAGAGGGGGTTGAAGTTGCAGAACTTTGGGAAGAGGGACCATGTCATAATGGAATTCAATATAATGCAGACAAAAGCAATAGAACAAAATAAAACGAGTGTCTTAAACCTTAAGAGAGCTGATTTCAACAAATGTAGAGAGAGTTTGGGAATAATTCCATGGATGAAATTCTTAAAGGGGAAAACAATTAAAGAAGCTTGGGAAATTCTGAAATTAAAACCCAGTCTACCACAATACCATTTTTTTTCTTTAAAAAAGAATATAAGAATTTCAAGTCCCATGGGTGCATAAATAATTATCTGATAAACTGAAAGACAAAAAAGGACAAGTATATTGGGAAGAGAAACGTGTAACTAAGGCAGTTTACCAACATATAGCCCAAACCTGCAGAGATGAAATCAGGAAGCTAAAGATCAGAATGAACTAAGACTTGTAACAAATGTTTAAAAAGCTTTCTAAAAGTTATTTCAAAATGTAAAACCCAAGAAAAAATTAAGGAAACAATTGGAAGAATGGTAGCAAGGAAGTGATAGGCAGCAGGGAGAAAGGAGAACTGTTTAGTTTATTATTTGCATCTGTCTTCACACAAAAGGAAAAATAATAGCCATTTTATAATGTCTTGGTAGGACCACATTTGGGATATTGCATCCAGTTTTGGTCACCACTACATAAAAAGATGTTGAGACTCTAAAAGTGTGTATAGAAGAGCCACAAAGCTGATTAGGGGACTGGACACTAAAACATATGAAGAACAGTTACAGGAATTGGGTATGCTTACTCTAATGAAAAGAAAGAGTAGGTAGCATGATAGTAATGTTCCAATGTTCCAATATTTGAGGGACTGCCACAAAGAAGAGAATGTCGACATCTGGCTGACGTCACGGTTATCGGATGTGAGGAGCTGGTCTCCTCACTTTCACGCCAAGTTCTCCCTGTTGGAGGGCTCCAAAAGGAGCTAAAGCCACCCTGTAGGGGTGGTAAAGAAAAGAGAGGCATCCTGTAGTTTGTGAAGAGCAGCAAGTCTCCTTCTGAACTCAGAGCTTCTTCCCTCTCCAATGATGAGAAGAGGCAGCCATCATGACTCCCATGAAACTTGGGCAGCTGAGGCAACAAAGAACTGTGCAGGAGCAGTGTAGATGAACAGTGATTGGAGCTGGGTGAGAAGATTTTTTTTATTATTTAGACCCTAACTTTGAAGAAAATAAAAGAGGAAAATCAGGAAAAGAGACTCTTAGAATTATTTTTCAAAGCAGCGAACAATCATAGAGAGAAAAATCCTAGACCTGAAAGAAAGGAGCTAAGGGGAGAAAAGCTAAAGACTTTTTAAAACATAGAAAATTGGATTGTTAAATTGGGCAGGCTTTATTTTGGAAAGGCATTATAAAATGCTGGCACTATCTACTTGAATCTACTTGAATAGAGTAGATTTGCTTCCATAAATTGAACTAAATTTGAATTAATCAAATCTATAAGACTTGAAACAATGTTGAAACCTAAGCTGAGGGTGCCATCTACTGGTGAATGGAATGTACAGGCCCCTACAAGTTTAGAAAATCTTTGATGAGAGAAATAAATAACATCCATCTGGAAGACTGTGGTGATACTTACTGTTCTATAATTATTTACTTTATGATTATTGGAGACTCTATTGTGAGAATAAGGAAGACTCTTAAGTAAAGTGACTTTTGATTTGCAGAAGCTGCCTGGACAACTTAAATGAAATTAATTAATAATCCTGAGATATAAAGTACTATGATTATTGAACTTTCTGAGGAGTAACATTGGACTGGAATATATTGCTTTTGGAGCTGAATAAGAGCAGGATTATTAAATTAAGACAAGATGCTCCATCAGGGGAAATGAGTGAGACTTCAAGAGAAATAGCATTGATATTCCAAAGTATTAGGGATACTATGGAAAAGAATCACAGAGAGATAAAGAACCTAATGCAAAGTATATATGAGAAAATTGATAATGAATGAAGATCAAAGAGGAAAAGGAAAAAGAGGAGATAGCAGAAAGAATGGAAGAAAAGACAGAATTGACAAGCCAGCAAACAAAGCAAGAAAATGAGACGGAGAAGACAATAATGACTGATGAAATAAACCAAGGGACAAGTACTTTAAGAGATTTAAAAATAGAATCTGATAATCTGGTATAAAAGATAATCTGGTATCAGATATAAAAATATCTGATAAGAGAAATAGAGGTTTGTATGGATACACTGGAGACTTGGCAGCTTAGGAGGATAGAGATGGGAGATATATTCAGTCTGAATGGTGAAGGTGGTAAAAGCGCTGATAAAGATCCAATAAAGAATATATGTATTCTTTTTATTCTAATAAAATGATGCCCTGATTAGTAATTTGAATAGAGGTAGAAATAAGAATGCAGACCTTTATATGAAACAATAGTTAGATGGAAAGGTTGAAAGATGGTATTATTAGGTATGTTTAAATAATAGGAAGACTGGTATTTGAATAGCGTATTGTGACTTTGAACAGCCAAAGAATGAAGGACTATGTCTTAATATAAACATGGGTATTAATACTAGAAATAGCAATGGTGACCTGATTAGAAGCAAGAATAGAGATAGAAATAAGAAATAGGGGGAATATTAGCAAATATGATTTTTATGTACTGTAACAGAATACAAGTAATAATTTGATGGGAAAGATCAGAGGTGAAAGATGGTATTACTATGTGTACTTATAATATAATTGGCATTAAAATGGAACATCGAAATATTGAATAACTACTCTAAAATACTAGGATTATATAAGTTTGATTAATATAACAATTATTATGATTATCATTATTGATATTTGTATCAAAATGAATTATATCCAGGGGCCACACTGTTTATGTACTGATATTGATGTATACCTAAAAATAAAAATCTAATAAAACTTAAAAAAAGAAGAAGAGAGGGTCAACTTATTTTTCAAAGCACTTGCAATCAGGACAAGAACCAACCTAGAAATAAGGAGAGATTTCCTGATAATGAGAACTATCAGTGGAATAGCTTGCCTTCAGAAATTGTAGATGTTCCATTACCGAAAGTTTTTAAAAAGAGACTGGACAGCCATTTGTCTGACATGGCATAGTGTCTCTTGCTTGAGCAGGCGGTTGGAGAAGAAAATATCTCAAGTGTCTCTCTTCTAACTCTGTTATTCTGTTATCTGTTAAATAAAGATCCATATTTTTTTTTAAAAAATCCTCTTTATAACAATTCTTACTTTTATATGAGAAAAATTATTGCATACATTTTAAGAAAAATTTAAGGCTATTGTTTGTAGCCAATAAAAATAATAGCTCAAGTTGTTTTTATGGGTACTGTCTTAG